ACAGCCCAGCTGACCCACCTCCGGGGGAGCCATCACCAAATATATCACGGGAGGACACCCACCCCACGGGCAGGGAGCCCCATGGGGCAGGACAGCGGGGCTGTCCCCAGCTGTGGTTTCACCCGGCACCCCAGACCTTCCTGGGGTGTTGGGGGTGCCGATTTTAGGGGTGCCCCTAGCTGTGGTTTCACCTGACACTCAGGTTGTTCCTGGGGTGTTGGGGGATGTCAGTTTGTCGCCTCTGAGGATTTGGGGCTGGCAGTGCAGGAACAGGCCAGGCTGGGTGTAGAGGCTCTTGTTTTGATGCTGCAAATGGATCTGGGGGCTGCCACACATGAGGGTGTCCCCTGTACCGTCCCCATTGCAGTAGGTCTGGGTTGACAGGGGATGAGGGGACAGAGCAAACTACATTGTCAGTGGGAAGTCACCTTTTCGGATGATTTGCTCCTGTGCTGTCCCTGCTCAGGAGGTGGCCCTGGGGTCACCCCCTCGCTGGGGGCTCAGCTGGAAGATGTGGTTGAGGTCAGGGTCCCATTGATGCCGTAGGGATCCCAGTGTCCAGCTGTGCTTGGGTGACATAAGTCTGTGCAGAGCCCTTCCCATGCCACCCACTGTGCCCATTGGCCTGAGCCCCCCTGGCAGTTCTGGTGACATCCCCGTGGGCACAGCTCCAGGGCAGGAGCTGCTCTCCCATCCAGCTCAGGGTGGGGAGGGGCTGGACTTGGACCCGGCAAAACCCTTGGAGATCCAAGGACCTGGACTCTTGGTCCTTGGAGTCACCTCCAGGAGTGTCACCCCAGTGCCAGACCCTTTCACAGCTTTGGGGGGAGCGAGCGAGGGATCCTCCATGTGGGGGGCACCCAGCACAGCTCACGGCTGCCACAGCCTGCAAAAGCCTCTGCCTTCCAGCAGCACTGGGCTGGTGTGGGACACCACGGGACAGCCTGGCAGGGTGCAGGGAAATCTGGTCCCCACATGCTGGCTGTGGGAGGGGATGGCGTCCTGCTCTCAGGGAGATGTTGGGCCAGGAGCAATCCTGTCCTGCCCCCTCAGCAGGAGGGCTTGAGGTGTGAGACACCCTCCACCCTGCCTGGTGTTCCCATCAGGAATGTGGCAGCCCATCACCTCCCCTCTGGCTGCTGCCAGCAGCGATGGGAGCCGGATGCTGCTCCCGAGGGCACAGTTCCCGATGAGTGTGGGGCATCCCCGCGCCGTTCTGAGCTGGGATCCGGCTCTTTCGCAAGGAGACGCCTCCCTGGCCATGATGTTCCCGCTCGTAATCCCTCCCTGTCCCTTCATGCCGACCTCCTAACGAGGTCACGTTTCAGTGGAGGCTCCCAAGTCCTGATTCCAATTAAAACCTTTCCTCTGGAGCTGGCTGTGGCGCAGCCAGCTGGGTACAGCTCTTGCCGTGGGGCTCCCGGGGGACCCCCCGCCGGAGCAGGGTCATGGGAGGCTCCCACAAAACCAGCTTCAGGCACCACAGCCCTCGGCACAGGGCTGGGAGTGGGCAGCTCTCCTTGGAGCCACTGCTTCCAAGGTGAGGGAGAACAGCATCTCCTGGCCTGGCTCCACCATGGAGATTTGTATCCTGGAGGATTTACTATCCCGATGCACAGCCGGCTGGCAGAGAGGGGCAGGAGCACAGCCACGGGCAGCCAGGTGCTAACCCCCCACCTTCTCTCCTCTCCAGGTGGCTATGGATTGCCCTACACCAATGGTAAGCTGCCCCACAGGGAGTGCCCGTAGCCCTCACCCCACGGTCGTAACTCCTTGTGGCTCCACCGGCTGCCACCGCGACCCTCGGGGCGGCGTGAGGGGCATCCCTCTCCCAGGTGGTCCCCCGGGGACCTTGTGCCTTGCCCATGATGGCTGTGGGCCTGGCTGGGAGACACTCAACCCTCCCAGTACCCCATGCCATGGGGCTGGGAGCTGTTGATCCGTAGGACACATCCTGAGCCACCGCCAGCTCCAGGCAGGGATGTTTGAAGTGGCATCTCGGCTGCGGAGGAGCTGGCTCTGGGCATCCTTCTGTGCCAGGGGGAGGAGACCCTTTGGGCCAGGGAGCTGCTCCTTCCACCTCCGTCCTCGGGCCGGTGCCTGACGTGGCTGTGCCGTTGTGTTTGTGGTTGCAGGCCTCAGGCCCGGTGGGCCAGGAGCAGGCCTTGCAGGGAAGGCAGGGTATCCCACCGGGACAGGTACACTCTGACCCCGCAGCCCCAGGGTGTGGGACTGGCACAGGCAGGGCAGGGGGACCGGGCACCCTGTCCCTTTGGGGTGTTGGGCACTTCCCGGCTGTCTGGTGACCCCCAGGGAGAGCCTGGAGTGTGCATCACGTCCCAAAGGTGAAGGGGACAGATGCTGGCAGGAGTGCCCGGTCCCCAGGGTCCCTGTGGGGTGGGGGAGCCGAGGTGGGGACGGTCTCGGCACCTCAGTGGTTGCCCATGTCCTTCCCAAGGAGTCGGAGCTCAGGCGGCCGCGGCAAAGGCAGCAGCGAAATACGGTGAGTGGCCCTGCACGGCACATCCACCACACGTGTCCCCAGCGGGGCAGCTGGGCCCTCCCTGCCGGGCTGGGGGCACGTTGGTCGTGTCCCTGCATCGCTGGACTGACCACCTTCTTCTCCCCTGTGGCAGGAGCCGGTGTCCTGCCCGGCGTTGGCGGCATCCCAGGAGTCGGCGGCTTGGTACCCGGTGTGCCAGGAGTTGGAGGTGAGGGGGTGACAGGGCTTGGCCCTGGGGTTCAGGGGGGTCACCTCCCCTTGTCCCACCGCCCTGACTCTGATATCCCACAGTTGGAGGAGCAGCAGCGGCGGCGGCGGCAGCGAAGGCG